GGGGCGAGCAGGGGCAGGGGTCTGCCGAGGGCCTGCCGGCCGCGCGTCCGTCACGGCCGTTGTCCCTTTCAGGTGCCGACTACGGACAGATTTCCGAGGAGACGTGGATCTATTTGAGCACGCTGTACGGCGGGGGCCCAGAGATTGCCATCAGGCAGAACGTGGCCCAGGTCCAAGAACTGGAAAACCTTCACGGGGAGCAGAAGATTGAAGCGGAGACGCGGGCTGTGTGATCTGTGCGGGTGGGGCAGGGAAGGTACGGCGCGGAGACGTCCGGGGGGGGTGGGAGGCTGGGGAGTCCTGAGGAGCCAAACCTCTCCCGTTGTCTGGTACGCGAAGGGGTGTGCAGCTCCCGCCGCCGCTGCTGGGGAAGGCAGGTGTCCTCCGCCAGCCTTTCACGTGGCTTTGAATAGAGGGGTGGTGCTGGGCACGACTGGGAGAAAAGCAGCTTCTCCGTAATTCCTCTCTGGATAACGCTGCGGTACGAGACTGCAGCCGAACTTCACCAGGAAATGTTTTGACCTTCTCCCTTTCGTTTGCTTACAAGGAACCAGCGCTCCCAGTTGCCCCCAGTGAACTGAGTCTCTGCTCCTTTGCAGGTTTTGCTTTTGGCACTTTTCTTTTTAACTCCTGGAGGATAATGAAACGTCATTTCTGCGGCCAGTGGGCAGGGTTGTAGCTAGAGAAACCCGTTTACTTGAAGCTGACTAAAGGCACGAGGTTCTGCTGGTAGTTTTGTGCTGGCGGGACGCAGCTGTCACAACTTCCTAGTTTTGCCCTTTATCCAATTCTTGCAAATTCAGGTGCAATCAACTAAGAAATTTTGAAAGAGGCTGTTTGGTTCTCCCCTAGCCCCTAAAGCCGCACCTTCACGGTCCTGCGGGATTTTGTTTCTCCTTGTATCTGATTTCACGTGGTCAGCACGTTTTTCAGAGAACAGAGCTGGAAGATGAGGCCTCCTTCCCAATGGCTTCCCACCGGACTCTTCCCGCTGAAGCTCCTGGCAGCTCTGTCGCCGTGGGACGCAGCCTTCCAGGGGGTTGGCTCCCGGGGCGGGACGCGAGCAGCTTAAACTCGGGGCTGGTCCTGGGGAGGCTTCGTTGGCGCGGGACACAGGCCGGCTCCGATGCAGACGCTGGGACTCTTGGTTCATAACCCCCTTCTCAGACTGACCCTGCTCTAAGCCAAGGTCTCTCCTCACGTCCGTGACGAGAAGCAAAGGGGGCGCACGCCGAGGACGAGGAGGAGCCCGTTTGTTCGCCCAGAGCCTGCTCAGCCGGGTCACGCTCAGGCCGTGCTGGGGAAGGGCCTGGCCGAGCAGGCCCCGGGCTCTTGAAGCAGCTTTTTAGGAAGGAGCTGCTTTCTGCCGCGTGCTGGGGTCGTGGCGGCTTCTCAGCACAGATGTCGTGTGTGCGCAGTGGCTCATTTAACGAACAGAAATAACTCGTTCCCCGACCTACTGCCACGGACGCAGCCAAGGAGCACCCGACAGCGGGCAGCGAGAGAGGCATGAAGACGAAAAAGGCTAAACGCTCCTTTTCTCAGCAGGGCTGTTCTTACCAGGCCTTTGTTCCTCTCCTAAGCCAGAAAGGCAACAGCGAGACCTTTGCGTGAGTGCAGTTTAATGAGAGCAGAGCAGAGGTGGCTTCTCTTGGGCTGGGGAACCAGACTGCGTGTTCCCGGTGCTGGAACCTGAATGATACCACAGCATCAGGTCTGTCCTTGGTGGAACCAGGCTCGGCCCGGGGCTGGGCCCTCCAGAGCTCCTCATGTAAGGGAGGGGGAGGGAAAGGCTGCTCTGCGACTTAGAAAATGGGAAAGGGCGTAGGACAGGGGAACTTAAAAAGAAAAATGTGGCCTTCTGATTTTTTTTTTTTTTTTTTTAGACCAAATGTTTGCTGCAAACAGCAACTTCTTCTTTAAAAAAAGTGACTGTAAATGGTTCAGCATGTTAATTTTCCTATCCTGTTTATTCAATACTTGTATATACCCAGCCAGGCCCGAGGAGAGGTCAGAGAATGAGCCACTGCTGGATTTCTCGTTGTTTTAAGCTGTCTTTGTTAGCCACTGCAGCCGCCTTCGAATCTGCTGCGGAGCCTGTAGGGCTGCATGTCGGTGTTGTCCGTGTCGTTCAGAGGATGCTGTACAGATTGTAATAACGCTCCTGTGCTTAAGTGTTACACTTTGTGCTGAAAAGGTGTTACAATAAATACATGTGCATTCAGCGTGTTGCTGCCTGCCTGGCGGGGGGAGAGGGGCTGACGGCTTCCAGGGAGCTTACGGTGTTCATGAAGAACAAATTTTTAAAAATTTAAAATTTAAAAAAAAAAAAAATCTTAACTTCCTGCTGCCCAGAGGCCTTGCAGTAACATCCTGAGGAGCAGAGAGCTGCGGTAGCCCGAGTCCACTGCATCCTACTGCGCTCGCTCAGCGGAGGGCGCCTGCTCCTCTCAGTCGCCGCTTCCAAAGACTTCACGTTTCTTTTTACCCGATTTCAGCCGAGTTTGTCTCAGAAAGCCCGTCCTGGCTGGAAGCACGTGCTCCCCAGGGCCAGCGCTGCTCTGAAAGCAACGTGCAAGGGAAGAAGGTTCATGGAGCTGCTGGAGGTTTCTAGAAGGCGGGGGTTCCGTCAGGCTGTTGGGGGGCTCCAGTGTCCTCACGGACACTTCGGGGGGGGCAGCTTTGCGCCAGGAAGCGCCGGGCTCTGGCCAGCCCGGTACCACCTTGTGCCCCCGTGAATCGATGGCGTTGCTCAAGGGGGCAGGCGAGAGGCGCGCTGCCGGCGGGGCTGCGGGACGGGAGCAGCTCGGTGCCAGGGCCGTGGCTGACACCGCGTTGGCCAAAGCCTGAACTGGCTGAAGAACTGGAGCCGGCGTGGGGTTAAGAACGTGCAGCTTGTTCTTTAGCAACTTGAAGTCAACCCTCAAAACTTGCATCTCACAAACAAACCCCGTCACCTCAGCAACTGAGAACAGCTCGAAATGTTCCAGGAGACGTTAACGAACGCCCTCCCCTAGGGAGGGGATTATTCAGTGTCTAGACAAAGAGCTCTAGTGCAGCTCTGGCCAAGCCATGGCTGTACTTTGTTACCCCCTGTCCGTTAAAACACTCAACGCTCAGCTCTGCATCGAGGTTTCATTTGAACTCCGACGGCAGCGTTGCTCTCTCTGACTCCCGCAGCGGGCAGCCACGGTATTTCTCAGCACACGTCTCGGAGGCGGCTCGCGTTGGGACCCGCTGCCACCGTGAGCCGACCTTTGTGGCCGAACTCTGCAAATCGCTTCATTTTCCCCGTGTGTTACCCCCGTCCCTTGCTGATCACAAGAAAGGGGAGATGGAGGGACGGCTCGTGCTCGGGAGCTGACCTCAGCGTTCAGATTCGCTGCTCCCTCCCCGCAGCGCTGGGCAGTTCCTTCACACGTGCTGCTCCTCTTCTTTGACTCCCCTCATGCCCGGACCGTGGCCTCACGCCCACACAGGGCACTGGGATGCAGCAGTGCTGTGACACACACGTGACAAGCACGCTGCCCTCTCTGCCCCCCCGCTCCCGCCTGATGACACACGTGTCACATCTCAGCCCCTGGAGAAGGGAACCGGCTCTTCCCCACGGCTTCGCCGCCACGAGCACCCGCCCTGCAGCCCCCTGGTGCCAGCGGCACCTCCCCGCCCCGCGATGGCCAAAGCACACGGCCTCCCGAGCACGCCGACACGCTCAGCGCCACAGCAGCGTGGGCAAAGCTCCTCTTGTTTTCTTCCCAGTTACTGCTCAGCTCGGCTTCAGCTTCCAGCCTTCCCTCGCTCACTCGGTTCTGCTGTTTCTATTTAAAGTTCGCAACGCCGATACTGTGCAAGATAAAGTTGGAGCCAGACCGACACCCCCTCCCATTTGTTATTTCCCAAAAATGCACAGACTAGCAGACTGTTCCATAAACAGAACTGATGGGTCCTGAATTGACAGGGGTGTTAATTAGTGCTGGCAAAGAACAACTAAAATACTGCTAAAAAAAGAAAAAAGGCAATCTGACCCTCGGATAAAATCTCCCTAGAGCTGCTTCAAAGGGAATTTCCAGCCAGGTGTCGCCTACTACGAGCTGCCCAACGGCAAATCCTCACGGCTCCGAGAGGAGGCTATTTCCAAGGGACTGCACTAACAGGTGATGGAGTCTGGCCCAGAAGCCAGCCAGGGGTTGGGCACAGCCGAGACACGCACCGTCCACCAGCCCCGTGGGCTGGAATGGAGCTGGGAACACCCTCACCCAGACACACACAACTTTCGGATTACTCGGGGAAGGGAAGCTGCTGCAGTTCCTACAAAGGCGCGTTCACCGCGCAGGCACAACCGCTGCATCTGCTACGCTTGCTCCAGGTTTAGGTTTCAACACGTGAACGATCGGTATCAAAACCATCTGCTGAGACTTGAGCCCAAGCGAAGCGTTCACTGCGGGCACGGCCAGGCCGGCTCTGCTGGAGGAAGCACTTCCCCCATGCTTCCAGCGCGTGCGGCCTCCCACTGAAGGGGGAAGAAGCAAGACCCACCCGTCCTTCCCAAGCACAACTCCAACCAGGACAGCGCATTCCTCGCTCTCCTCAGATGACCCAATACATACCAGTCCCAACCACTTCAGCTGGGACTTCCCAGCGCCAGCGGGAAAGGTAAAATTTTGATGAAATTGTACCTCAAAGGTGACCTGATGGGAACCAGGGGCGTGGGACAGCCCCTCGACAGTACAGGCAGATTAAGACTTCAAATACCTGAAAATTCCCGTATGAAAGAACACGAAAAAAGCCCCAACAAGTACCACAGCGCGTGGCAGCAGCAGCCAGGCACGAGCACCCCCTGCACCGCGGCACTCTGGCTTATTTGTTGTAAGTTTTACAGCTGGAAGCGAAACCCAAATCCATCCCCTAGTCAAGGAGAATAACGAGAAGTAAGAGCAGCTTCGGGGAGTTTCGGGCTGCAAGATTTTATCTGGCTGAAGCAGTCAGTCCCAGCTCAACTCCCGTTCCTCCCCGGGCCCTGGCTGGGGGGAGGCAGGAAGCTCACTGGGGAGCGAGGGCTGGAATACCTCGGCAAAGCGGAGAAGCCCCAGCAAGGAGGCCCAGCTCTTCTTACTGGGAAAGGGAAGCGGCAAAACCCCTTTTCCTCTTCTCTGGATGATCAAAAGGGTCCAGTGAAACTGTATTTCTGGAATTAAATGTTTATTTAAATATGTGGATGACTCTTTTCATTGTT